GTGGTTCTGTTACCAGCTGGGCTTGAACCATGACAGCTTCTTCTGGTCTCAGAACTGATGCCATAAAAAGCCCAGTGAAACAAGCACAGGTTCCAGCTTGCTTGTCCTAGGAGTTAGTAGTGCAGAATTTGGAAATGCTTTGTACTTCCAGATATCAGACTACTGCTGTACTTCTTACTGTGGATTTAAAGCTCTAACGTTGGGCATACGAGTCTGGACATGTGTGGAGATGCTAAAGCAATGGGACTATATCCTTCTGTGGGAAGGGAAAAGTAATTATGGTCAGGGTGGTTATCTGATCTTACTGTAGTTTTGCAGAAAGGATACGTCATCTTCAGGACCTAGCTGAAAATTTATATAGTTGCATAATTGAATGTTAAAGCCTCCGGTACTTATCCTGTTCATTCCCTTGGTGGTTGTATTTTAATGCTCCTAACATAAAATAACCCTATAACGAAAGGATATAATTTTCAAATGAGAAGGTTGAGATATTGAACCAGTGCCTGTTACTTCATTGTCTTTTCATAGAAGGTTTCCTGTTCTGATAAAATATCGAACCGTTTGTAAGTGAGCACAGCTTTTTAGCTCTTTTATGCTGCTGTGAATCTGTGAGGTGAGTGGAGTTGCTACCCAAGGATGCCACACTTCTTGGAGAGCTAGATGTGAGAAACTGTGTCAGGTTACCTGAAACCTGAATGCACAAGTAATTCACAGTATAATCTTGTTAACCTGCAGATATTGTATCTGATGCCTTATAGTTGGTATGAAAGAAATAGAAGTCTCTTCCAACATCTCAGCTGGTTCATTAGGTTAGCTTATTATTCAGATTTAATGTAATTTTTATAAAATACTCTATTATATATTTACTGATTTGTTCATTAATATGCTCTAAAGTACTGTGATGAATCAATTCAGCTAATCTTATTTGCCAAAATAAATTAATGAGGTATATCTGTTAAAGCTATATTTTTGATGGTTTTATATTGTTTTGTTTAATAAGTCTGCAGGCTCTTTTTGTGTAATTAATTCAAAATAGATGTGGAAGGAAATTTTCCTTCAGATATACTCCATTGTTTCAAAATGGAGTATATCTGAAAGAAAATTTAAATGGACTTCAGTATAGCAAAGGAAAATTATGTCTTTCAGAAGAGTATGTTAGGTGTTTTTTCATTAGTTTCATACCAATATTTGCGCATTAAGGTAATGGAAACGTAATAAACTCAACCTTTGGATCGGGTGTCAGTGATTCCTTTTCAAGTTCCAGCATCAGGTTGGCTTCACTATTTAAAAAACCTGCTTGGTAAAACCCGTACAAATGTTGGCTGGTAGAGACAAGCTGTCCTGGCCTGTTTAGTGCTACAGGAAGAGCAGCAGACAGGGATAAAGAAAATTGCTCCTTCTAACAAGATCTTGTATCAGCAAGGAAAGTTAACATAACCATGTCATTTATCTGTGTCATTTCCTGTTATGTGCTACTTACTAATGTGTCTTTGACCAACCTTTCAATACTTTGTCCTCACAATACAATTTAGTCTTCTGTGCAATTTATTTGCTGTTACCAAAAGTCAGTATTATATTACTGAAGCATACCCATGCTGGAGAATGAAGGTAGTAAAATATGGACTGTGATTTATAGTCATTATAAGTTACATCCTTTTATCTAAGGAGAAATGGTAGTAATCAGAAGGAATGGAAATGGAATTACAGTGTGTTGTGCTTCAGTGATGCAATATGCTTATATGCTTTTTACCTTGGAGCACCAGAGGATTAGTAGTTATATACCTACCACTTAAAAGCAGGGAAAAAAGATATATCTAGCTTATAGGGTGTCCTTGATTCAGCTGTAATGGTTATTTTTCTCCTTCTCAGTAGCTGGTGCAGTGCTGTGTTTTGGCTTTAGTCTAAGGACAGTGCTGATAACAAAATGATGTTCTAAGTTGTTGCTAAGTAATGCTTACCCTGATCAAGGACTTTTCAGTCTCTCATGTTCTGCCAGTGAGGAGGGGCATGAGAAGCTGGGAGGAAGCAGAGACAGGAGACCTGACCCAAACTAGCCAAAGGGGTATTCCACAGCACAGCACGTCATGCCCAGTAGGGGGAGTTACCCAGAAGGCCCAGATAACTGCTTAGGTTGGGTTGGGCATCAGTCAGCAGGCAGTGAGCAATTGTATTGTGCACCACTTGTATTTATTGTTGGGTTGGTTTTCCCTTTCCCTTTTTAGTTGTATATTGTCTGCCCTTGTTATTTCCCTTATCATTATTATTGGTAGTAGCAGCAGCAGTTTTATATTATACTTTAGTTATTGGACAGCTCTTATGTTAACCCGTAGGGTTTACATTCTTTTGATTCTCCTCCCCATCCTGCTGGGACCAGAGAGAAGAAGGGAGGTAGTGAGCAAGGAGCTGCATGATTCTGAGTTGCTGGCTTGGGCTTGAAGCGCAACATAGTGGTATGTGCCATTTTCTGAACTTTTTTTTTTTTTTTAGGGAAACATCCCTGAAGTGACTGAAAATAACAGCTCCTCACAGTATGTGATGTGGCTTATGCAAGTGTTTAATATTATGTTCCTCTATATTTGTGTAGAGTTTCATCAAGATGTTGGAGGTAGCTGTGAAGCAGTCTTGAGTCCTACTGATTTAAATTTGTAATTTGAATTCAGAATGTAATAATTGCTTTCTACTCCATTTTGCAATTGTGGCAAAAAAATCTCATTTAAGATTCAGTTATCACTAGAAATGTGTCTATTCTTTATTTATTTGGACTGCATTATAATTTGCTGCAAGCAGTTTAGGCAGCAGTCTCACCGTTCAGAAAGTACAAAAGAGGAATGACAGGAGGCTTTTGTTTTGTCAATTATTCTTAGGCAAACAGGGATAATTGATTTATCTGTTGTCACAGGGTGGTTCCTTTCTACCTGACAGTTGTTTTTTCATTTACTTATTTATTTATTCATAGCTGTAGAAATTTATTAATTTCTTCTATCTTAACTTGGTGTCTTCTTCATAGTTGCATGGCACCTTACACAATTAACTTGAGGGGTGAAAAGAATTACGTAAGTCAGCAGTTTTCCAAACTCTTGACGTTTCATAAACAAATGTTTTATGAATGTTAATCCCTATATAAAGTCAGTGCCTTGGAATCTTGGGTTCCAGAGAGCAATGTTTTTCAATATTGCAAAGTCGTATTTTTTTCTTGTTAAAAAAGACATCTTTGCTATTTATTTGCTGTTTTTGTGGTGGCTGAAGATTCATAAACTTCTTGTATGCTTTCCATTGCCACAGGGTAACATTACTTTTGGGAATAGAGCTTCCAATGTAGGGGCAATAAATACTAGTATTTAATTATTTTCATTTAGTAAAAATGTATCCAGTCTCACTATAATATTCATAAGTGTATTAAGAGTCGAATTTTTCTTAGGTTAAAGTTTTTCTACTCTGCATCTCTTACTTGTATTTAGTACTATTACAAGAAAAAATGAAACAAAAACCCTATCTATATTATCTAAACTGAACTATGCAGAATTTTCTCAGTTCTTACCATTTAAAAAATTAACCCCTCGTAGTGATTTGTCTTTATTTTTTGCTTTGTCTACTCTTTCCTGCAGATCAAGTGCATTAGTTTGCTAGTTTAATTACTGCCTTTCCAAGAGTGTTCATAGAGTCTATAAGTATGTAATTTTCATTCAGAGAGAACCTTGATGGGAAAAGGATGAAAGTGTTTGCAAACTAGCAGTATGGGTGTATTTGTGCTCCCTTAAATTCTGCAGGTATTATGAAAGAATGGCAGCTGAGAAGGCAGAAAATTCAGGATCCGAAGATCCTTTTAAAAAAATCATTACTCACAGACGAAGTAGACATATAGCCAATGGGGTATTTAAGGATGATAAAGTACAACAGCAGTTGCTGCTGTTCTGGTTCTCCTGGATGATTACAGTTTTCTTCCCTCCCCCCACAACAGTCTCAACAGCCTGTTTCCCTGGATTAGCAGTGATTTTCTAATTAAATGGAATTTCAAAGACAAATGCCACCTTCTTGATGCCAAAACCTGTCACAGAAAGGATTGCTTACCCTGGATCTCCCACTTGACAAACCAGAGAGAAAGGTTAGCTGCTGTAAGCACTCTTTTGGCTCAGTAAACAGCAGAGTGTCCTGATTCTCACTGGCTTTGCAAATGTTAAGGATACTCAGCACCTATAAAATTTACTTGATGTCTCAGATTTAAGCTACTACTCAGCAGTGGCAGTATGTTACAGTCTTGTTATCACTATGTGGCTTAAATATGCTAATGTTATTGCACTTTGATCCATTGCCATCTTTGTGAAAGTGCCAGTCCTACAGGTATTTGACTAGTGTAATTTATTCATTCCACATAGCTAGCCTAAAGTCATCTTGTGCACCTCAAAATAGTTTCCCAGTCACTTTTCTCTGGTCTTTCTTAATGTACAGTGATGAATCAGGGGTGTTTCTCAAACGTGTTCATTAACCTCCCACCTCTCCCTTTCCCCTTTATTTGGAAAAAAAAATCAGATTTCTGGCTAATAGTTTAGGATCAGTGTGCTGTGTTCCACTGTGCTGGCATTCTCCAAAATCTTCTAGATCTTCTAGAAATCATCAGGAATGCGACTCAAGCTTTCTTGTTGAGCTTAGAACAAAAAAAGCAGCCCAGAAAAAAAAATAAAATTCTAGGGAACCTGCCCTATCTTCAGCAGACATTTTGTAGACTTGAGAATCTGCAGCTTTCCAAACAAGTTACAGAGGACCCTCGCTGCTTGGACCTATGAACTCAAATGCATTTGGTCTTTCCTACTTCTTTGACCTCTGTTCCACCCATTTTATGTGCCTTGTCCATGATAATTTTTGTTTTGTGTTTAGTGGTCTGTTGAAGAGTGAGCAAGCTGAGACGCTCCTGGGACATGTCCCCTACATTTAGGTCTTTTGCTAGTAACATGAGTATCTAATTTCAATTGTTTTTAATGACTGGGAGTTTCTTTTGATACCAGGTGATGCAGATGTATCTCCCTTTCTGTGGGATTGCCATATCCAATGCTCAGCTATTTGCAGCTTCAAGGAAGGAATATGACAGAAGCAGGGTAAGTAAAAAAGGTATCTTGGATCAGTATCAAACTCCTGTCTTTTGTTCCTTCAGATTCCAGCTTGCATTGGGTGTTTGCTAAGCAGACACTTTAACTATGTTTTATTTAAAAGAAAAAGGATTTTCAACAGATCACTGTCTTCACTGAGGTAGCAAACACAGAGTGTGGGAGGGAAATACGCTTATGGTTGTGGCTGTTGTTTCCTGATGTCAGATCCATGCTTTGTAGTGCTGAAACAAATGCATTTGTGATACAGACAGTGCAGGAGAGAGCACTGCTTTGGCAGAGATTCAGACTCTCATAGAATTCCAGAAATATCAAACCTTTGCCATCCTGAATTTGTAATATTCAATTCATGTGCAAATAACGGGCATGTATCTTTATAAAAGTAAGCAAGAAAAAACCCTGTATGTGAAGGGTTTTGACAGTGTGTCTGCTTCAGGTACATTACTCACATTACTCATGATTGCTGATGCCATGCATGAGTTGGGATAGGAGGTTCCGAAGAAGTGAAAATAATGCTGAGCTCAAGTGTCATTTACTTCTCAGAAAAGTCTTTATATTTTTTTAGAAATAAAACTGTAATTTTGAGGGATTTTTTTATACTTGTTAGCTTTTTTGGCCTTTGTTTTTTTAATCACCTTTCCTGCAATGACAGGAAATGATGCTTTTGCTATCATGGATCACAGCTCCAAAGCTTCAGCAGAAATACCACCAGTAGCATTGAACCTACTCTTGCTTCAGTGAGCAGGGGGAACTACAGCAGGGTGTGTCTGTACATTGAACATTGATATTTGTATAGTCAGGATATTGGTGCCTTCCATGTACGGAAACTAATGCTTTCCACTACTTTGAAAACTAACAATAGCCCTTTCTAATGGTGTATATACTTAAGGGTCATGGAGTATCTGAGCTTGTCTTCCATCTAGGTATGACTGCAGACCACTTCGTTTTGGGATGGAGATGTGGAGGAGAAATGGGGTGAAAAGAAAAGATTTTTCTGCCTAAGACATTTTTCTTTGATGTTCAAACAAAATACTCGTTTGACTACATAGAGACTTAAAATTCGCTTCAGATTGCCAGCCTGCAGGGAACAATAACAGACTTTTTGAGGAGTCAGCATTTAATCTTCAGGGTGGACATAGTATTAGGGATATTCTCATTATTCACCCCCAAATGGTAAATTCTGGTGGTTGGACACATCAGGAAATTGGATTAGAAATAAAGGTTCTTTGTTTCTTGTTGCTGCTTCAGCCATGTGAGGCATAACAAATATCTTTGTGTTTGACCACTGCATGGTGACGTGTACTTAATTGCATTTCTCACCTGCTTTGATAAAATTAGTTGGCAGGTAACATGCTATGGACAAGCTCATATTTGCCTTCCCTTTCAAACTGGATACCAGTTGTGGCAACTTCCAGTGACTGTGACCCACATTTTGTTGATAACCACTGTGTTAGGAGAGATAAAACCACCAACATTTATATACTTACCTATATGGATGTTCTTTAGTTTTGGCATCTTAAACCAGAATAAAGGATGCAAAACACTTCTCTGGACCCATGCTAAGAAAGAACATGGCCTATTATTTTTAAAGCAGATTAAATGAGAGGGGAAGCCCTTTGTTTTAAAACATTGTATTTTACAGACATGTAGTTACTGGTAAAGACTGGATCAGAGTGCTATTAGAATGTGGAAGTATTGATGTCTTTCTTTCCAGCTTTGAGCATGCAAAATGGGCCATAAATTAATAAAATGGAGTTTAAATGCATCAGCAAATTCAACATAGAAAATCAAGTAACTCAATCCATACTGTGTACTTGGAGAGTTGGATTACAGCAATTGGTTAATTTTTGGACTACAGTGAAATAGTTTGAAAGATTCCCATTGTTTGCTTGGAGTTAGATTATACCCAGTTGTGGCTAAGAAACACTTTCTTCTTTCTTCAGATGCCCTCACCCTAATTCTGTTGCCATAATAATGAAGAGTTTTATTTGAATAATGTTTCTTATGGCTCATATTAAAATCAATCCTAGGGATTATGCTTCCTCTGCAATGTTCCATGTATTATTAAGTCTACGACCAATACAAGATTTTTCTGTCTGTGTATGCAGGCTTTACTAGAAGTAGTGAATGACCTCTTTGAGGAACAGACTGACTTGGAGAAAATTGTCAAGAAAATTATGCATCGAGCCCAGACTCTTCTGAAGTGTGAACGATGCTCAGTATTGCTACTGGAAGATATCGAATCACCAGTAAGTATGGCTACACATTGTGCAGCAAGGTACAATAAATGGTGGATCAGATGCTTCTAAGTGGTAAAGCTGTTCCACATGTAGAGTAACGGCAAGTATTCTTCTAGCACATAATTCTTAAATGTAAGGTAAGTACAGGTTGAATCTTTATCAGCACCGTTGTTTTGGTTTAACACCAGTAGGCACAACCTTTAGCATTACTGAAGTATGATGGGGTTTTCTTGCAATTGCTCTGACCACTTAACCAAGGAAAAATTCTTTTATTGAAGAGCTCTGTTATGTTGAACAGATGTATGTAGGATATATGAAGAGCTGTGCTTCACACATCGTTTTGACATGGGTTTTCACTAGGAATTTGTAATATTGCCATTTGTATGGTACAAGAGCCTCCTTATAAATGCTTAACATTTTTTGACTATTGTTATTAGTAGTAAAAGAAGTGACTGCCTTTATATTGGTAGTTCCCTTCAGCGTTTTCAGGCAATTCAACATGAACTATCCTCCTTTCAACTGATTTGAAAAGTTGTTGAAGGATAAAAATGTTGCTTGTAATATAAGTCTTTTTTCTATTCAAGTATCTTTGGATTCACTGACTCGGTAATTGATTATTTGTTGCTGGGCTGTGACATGTCTAAATGATTAGCAGAGGCAGGATCATCTTGTGTGCATGAAAAAAAAAAACACCCAACAACATTTTCTTTTGTGGAGGAAAGACATGATTCTTATTTCATTTAAACTAATAGAAATTAAGTACTTTCAGTAGAGTATACCCTAAATTACATTAGCCTTCCTAAAAACAAGATCAAGGGTAGTATTTTATTTATATCTTCTCTGTTAGAGAAATGTAATGTTTCTAGCTTATTTTCTCTTTTTAGACCTACATCCCCTCCTTCTCATTTTATAATTGCAGTATACGGTTCTTCTACAGTCTTACAAAATGCCACTATGTTTGCCAGTATAGAATGATTTTCATTTTTCACAGAGAACTACATTGTGTTAGTAGCAGGCTGCGGGTGGCATTGTTCAATTAATTTTTCTGCTCTTGGTACTATTGCTGCCTTTGTGCACTGAGGGGGTTTTTTACCAAACCGCAGCCAGTGAGTTCTCATTCCTCCAGACCAAATTCTGAAATGTGGATAGCCAAGGTATTCAGGTAGGTCTGAACTTTTTCTAAACAGTCATAAACCTTAGGTTGATTTGGAATAGGAGACTGATATTTTGCCACCCACTCAGTCAGTTTTTACAATTGGAAAACCAGTTAGTTTCCTGATTTCCCCGAATTTTGGAGGGTTAACCTATATAACAAAATAGATCTCCATAGATTAACTCAGTGTTAAGCCATATCTAAAATATTGTTATTTTTACATCACATGAAAAGCTTTTGTAATACAGAACCAACGTGGAAAAAAGTGGACCCACGCTTGCATCCAAAACCATGACGTGTTCTGTGTCACATTAGGCTGTCTTAAAATGTTTCATTTATGTTCTGTTGGCACATAAGTTCAAGGAAAATTGGTTGCAATTAGTAGACCAAGTGTTTCTGTTTATTTTCCTATATTAAAGAAAGTAAAGGTTGAGCAAAGCTCCCTAATTCATGTTCCAAAGCCCTTTAAAGAGAAGTGTATACTTTTGCAGAAAACGGTTTCATGAAGGAATCTAAAGATATACTACTTGATTAGATACTGTTAGTGAACTGTGCACAGTGTGTATTTTGAACATGAATTCTCCACTGGGAGAATACAGATTGAATTTTTATTCTAAGACTGCTGGCTAAAAATACAGTTTAATATAGGAACCTTGCGTTACTGTTTTCTTACATATTTATTCATCTTAATAACAATTTTAAGTTACTTTTTTTGTGACAGGTGGTGAAATTTACAAAATCCTTTGAGTTGTTATCTCCAAAATGCAATGCTGATACTGACAACAGGTTAGTGCTCATGTCTTCTATGGTAATGGCTTGCTTTATTTTTCACATAGTTTTAAATTTGCTTGATCATAGTTTTATTTTTGTACGGAACTTTGGATAGATTTGATTGAAGAAGGAGTGCCTACGGTTTTTACTCAAACAAGACTCCTGTTTGCTTCAAATAGAGACTTGTTTGAATAAATATCCATGCTTGTATTTTTATATATATGTGAGTATATAGAAGTGTGCTAACATTGTATCAGGGTCTCAAAGAGGAAACCAGCAAATTACCAATGATTATTTTTTTTTAATTGTTGAACTCATGGAGGACATATTAACTGTGTTTTGCACAGTTAATACTGAAGCAAAAATCGGAAAATTATTTTAGACTGTTGATCTCTTACAAAATTCCTCATTACAGTTGTGTTGAAAGGTTTAAAGTAAAATTTTATTTCTGCTCTTGCTGTCAAGTTGGAAAGCCTAAAAACCTCAGGGAATGTGTATTTCCCAGAAATTATGATGTTCTGACTAAATATTGTTTGGAAGCCCAGTCAAAATAGAAGTAGATATTTTGTTAGTAATATCCGTATTTAAACATTGATAAAGGGCTGATACTAAGTAGTAATAGGAAGAACTTTTTGGTTATGTGGGGTTTCTGTATTAATTCCTACAAGATAATACAGCTGGTAACAGTTCACATAAAATGTCCAACATACTAAACAAGTGGATGATTCAGTGCTACTGTGAGAAGGTTCCTCCCATCTTTTGGGGCCCAAACTCAGTGATTAGCATACATGTTTTATGCGAATCAATACTGATTCTGAATTAGAATTTTCTGTTTCAAAAGGCTGCCGTAATGAATAACTTGGCCTTCCGTTCAACTTGCTATCTATAGCTTAGCAAACTTGAAGATTATTTTGTGCTTTGCCATATTTAAGCCCTTTAAGCACCTTCTAAAAATATTTGGGGTAATTTGCTTTCTTTTGTGCTATATTTCTCCATGTCCAGCACAATAAGAAACTACCACTTCATTAAGGTTAATGTGCACATTATACTCTAGATTACGACAGGTCATAATTCTTAATGCTTTGCATGGATTGATCTTGCAGCACTACAGAAATGGACAGCGTGATTTTTAAGGTGGGCAAGCTGACAGCAGTGTTCAGGGCCATACAGAAAGATGGGTAGAATCTACATCTCTGCCCTATGCATTAATTGAGAGACGGGAATGGTGAGAAAAATGGAAAAGGAAAACAAATGATAAAAATTAGGAAAGTTTAAATATGAATAAATAATATTGGGAATAACAAGTTGCTGCTTTTGACAAAGAGCTTCAGAGTAGCAGTTGGTCTTTCCTAGGTCAATTAAATGGGTGAAAATACATTCCTTTTGTTCAGGGACAGGAGTATGAATCAAGGGATGTGGTGGCTGTTCCTGTTTTTCTGAAACTTGATCTGTAGCCAGATTAGTCAAAACAATGTAGAGTGGTGTCAAGATAACCAAGCTGGCTCATTTCTTGTTACCATAGTTATATTAGCATGTTACCAAAAAGCAGTTTGTAGTAGCCTGCTCTGCATGTAGTCAAGATTATTTTAACTTTATTCTGAGACATGAATAAACACATGTAACCTGGTAGCCAGTCTTCATAAGGTTTATAAAGGTATATTTCTGCGCATCTTAATATATTTATGGCTTTTCGTTTCATTTTTCATCCAGTCGAGAATGAAGTGGGTTTTACAAAGATCAAGGTTAGACTGACAGATATGATGTCACATTTGGATCTAGCACAGGCACAGCTTGAGTTATTTGCACTACAGTGGGAAAATAAAGGTTATTTAGGATGCAGAACAATGCCCCGAGCCCTTGACATTTGAGCATTTTTCTAGTGAGTTTTGCCCTTTTCATTCTACATTCTACAGCCACAAATGATGTAAAGTCATGAGACATTTCATGTGGAAAAAAATAGCAAGATGAGTTTTTTCAGCATTACACCAGTGAAGATAAATATTATTTCTTCAAAATTTTAGTGGGAATTCAAAGAGATTATAGGCTGAGAACAGTTCTAGTTACAAGTTTTATCTGAGAGAGAAGGTACAAGGACAATATAACTTTTAATATCCCAAAATATTTTCTTATAGAGTTTTAGAAGAAATAGGCTTTTCTTCTGCCCTTCCTCCATCTGGCTAAAAGCAGCTCAACTGTTTAGTCCCTAAATAATATAATGAATACTCATATTGTTTTTCTTTGCTGTTGGCTGTAAAGAAATACCTTGCAAAACCACATTGGCATTTATCTGTTCAATTTGCAATTTTCCAGCACACACCATGATCAAGTTTGTTTATTATCCATTATGGCACACTAATGCTCTTGTTTTTGCCATTTAGTTCTCAAAGTAGAGGTTTGCCAAGTCTCCTAAATTTTCTTTCCCTTTTAAAAAAGATTATACGAACGTTAGAAGCCTTGAGAGTTCAGCTCTGGTGTATTCTAGATGAATATGAGCTCAAGGGAGGGTGCTGTGTGCTATGTCTTTCCTGCACAGAAGTCACCTTGGCAGATGATGTAGCTGAAATTACAGCTCTCTAACCTGGGTAGCACTGGTTATGGTCATGAGCCAGAATGTGGGTTGTGTGGGAGAAAATATCTGTGTTAGTTGGCTTAGGACAGAGAAAGTTCTGAAATCTCTGCTACTGCTGTTTCATCACCAGACTCTGGGATGATGTATGCTCAGTATTGCCCCATTTCCTGCACTATTTTTATGCTTTGTAAGGTACCTTTGTGATCGCCTAGTCCTAGGAGGTGGAAAGGTTCATGTCACTGCTTAGAGAGGATTGAAGGTACCCATGACTTTGGCTGTACCACTTCCCTCCTGTACTTTCTGCCATCTGTGCCAGGGATACTCAGGGAGACAGCAAGGCAAGCAGCTGTATAAAGGACCCTGCAGCACTGCTCAGTGCTCTTGAGCAGCAGAGTTTGCTCTCCTGCATGGCATGTGTTGCTCCTGCTAGGGTGTGGGAGATGGTGGCATGCAGCTGCCTGCATCAGTCCAGCAGGATTCGCGGCTTTCCACAGTTTGGAGAAAAAGTTGCTTTTGATTTTTAGAGTAGCTTCGGTGTGTTCTGAGCTGCTAAGGATGGAGAGAGCACCAGCTGGCTGTGATTTGCATCAAAATTAATCATTGATTTTTCTTCCTACTGGCAACTGAGTGCCTCTCTTCCGGAGTGTAGTTGTAAAGCCCTTATTAGGAATGGAGACGACATAGTAGAACATACTTCTAAAACTTCTTCCTGAATTATGTCTTCTTCCTTTTACTTTAATTTATTTGCTGCTTAAAATGCTTGGCACCCATAGTGCAGTTCCAATTTAAAGTGTCTTATACAATAATATCATCCCCCAGATTTTTAAAGTATGATCTGGGAGCTACGCATTTGAAATTAGATCCTTATCTGTCAAGATTTTTTTATTTCTCAAGTATTGGTCTCCTGAGAAATTTTAAATTATAAAACTGAATTTTTTACTTAGCTCAGAAAACAGTATATTTATGTAAAGGTTCCTGTCAAAGTATACACATAAGATTCATTGCAGTCACTCAAAATGTTTAGCGAAAATGAAAGTTGCTAACACTTAGATTTATTTGTGTAAATCATTATTAGTATATTTATTTATAGTCTTTTTAAGAATATTGAGTTTTCTTTCAAATGAGCAACTTAGTTGAATTAGTCCCCAGAAAATCAATGCAGCCAGTAAAAATCAATCCTTTCACTCTGATTGAGTCTTCCAAGCATTTTACTGTGCGTCCTTCTTTCATTCATGGGCATTACTTTGAAGCTTCAAGCTATTCTAGTCTTCTTCATATCTGCTCAGACTCACTTTTTTTCCGAGCAACATTGAAAACTGATCAGTTTTCTTCTTAAAACTAAGACAACACACATTCGTTTATTCGTGTATGAATAGCTACACCTAGACAATGCCAAAAACCTGTCTGCAATAAGTCTTTGAGAATTTCCCTGATGATTGGATGAGGCTTAAAGTGAGGACTTTAATGCCTGTGTGGTTTCCTGCAGAAGCAGCAGTGGAGTGTGATGAATTGAGCCCATAATTCTAGAGTTTTATGCTCATTTACTGACATCTGTCTAGCCCCTCGGTAGACGTGTCAGTAGCTCAGCCAGGGAAAAAAAAGAAAGAAAAACTTCATGTATTGTGTATCTACTTGGATCCACCTGCTGCAGCACACTTGCATTATTGATTTTTAAGACTTACTTGATGATCCTTTCTTCAGCCATTCAGGTCTGGCATTTCAGACCATGATTTAAAAAAATAGAATTTCCTTTGACAAGGATAGCCATTTGAAGTGTGAATTAAAAGTACCACAAATTATTAGACTAATTTGAAAAAATAAAATCCCAAGATTATATACATTCAGGTAGCACTACAGAAAATATTATTTAGAACTGGTTGCTTTTTGTGAGCAGGCCTGTATCCCACAGAAGCTTGGAATGTACTCCCACTCTCTTTGATTCACATGTAAATGCATTTCCTTATTAAAGATTGTATTTACTTTATTTGTGAGACCAATGATATTTTAACCATAAAGAATTGTGTTGAGACTTTTTTGATGTACCATTTCAATAAATACTAAATTATTGCTACACAGATAATGTTTGTTAATCATTAATAACTGTGAATGGTTCTGTTCTTCCTATGAATATGCCTATAAGATTCTGTTCTTCCTATGAATATGCCTATAAGACATGCTGGACTTCCAAACAACACTGACTGTATTCTTGTCTTCCCTTGCCATGTCTTTTGATAGTTTAAAGGACAGTGTGGAGAAATCATCATCTTATTCTGACTGGCTAATAAATAATAGCATTGCTGAACTCGTAGCATCCACAGGTCTCCCTGTGAACATCAGTGATGCCTATCAAGATCCTCGCTTTGATGCTGAAGTAAGAGATTTTTAGAAATCCAAATATACATCGTATTTTTAGCATTGTAACTAATATAACACCATTTTATTGTTATAGCCAAATGCCTGTAAAGTGTGAATTTTGAATTATTTTTGTTCTATCCAGTATGTCCTCCTGGTCTGCTGGTGTTGACATTGCTATAAACAGTAAACACAGGTCACTGAACTAGTGTATGACTTTATGCATTTACTTAATCTGTCCAGGATTCACTTCTTTCCCTATTTATAAATGATACCTTGCTCTAACAAATGGTTTGATATTCATGCAAGCTGATTTTTATTGCTGAAAATTCAACTGTTGGCGTTTAGCATAATCAGCACCATCATTGTTAGTTGTTGGGGTGACTGGAACTGTACACATACAGAGAGTAAACAGAATCGATATCTAAAGTGACAAATGTTTGTGATTTAACTTGGCCAACTAACCTTTTAATTTGCACAAATAAAATATGCACTCTGGATTAGTTATTTCTCCAAGATGCATACCACTCCTAATAAAAGTTGTGTTTGTGTCCTAAGGTTTTAATTCCAGCCTCAGTTAGGAAGGTGTAGGTACAGTTAAAAACATATACGTATACTTAACACCTAAATGAATGTCAGAGACATATGGAAGCACAAAACCTTCACTGAAATCTATCCAGTGAAATAGTATTACTATGGGGGATTTGGCCAGCAGTTGGGCAGCACATTAATCAATGGACAACCTTGGTCAGCAAGTTTGCTAAACCATATTACTCAATAAGTGTGCTTGGAAGTGTTTCATATTGAGAGTTTGCTTGGGTCCACTTTCATTCCATGTGTCATTAAAGGGTTTATCTCTCAAACCAGCAGAATTTGTCAAAAGAAGAAAAATAGAGGCCTGCTGTAAAAGTGTACAAGAAAACTGTGTTGATACTAATTTGCTTAGAATTTCAAAAAATACAATTAATGCCTGGGGTCTATTTCTTGCCAAAGAGATACGCTAAAGTAAAACACATCTGTTCCTGATACATTTGCAGTTGTATTTGTAATATATTCTAATTAATTCAGCTATCTCTTATTTGCTTCACAGTCCTTTCTGAGTTAGAGGCACTGCCCAATTTATAGAGAAAAAAGAAAACACTTAATACAAAGGGCAGTAATTCTTTTCTGTTGGTGGGTTCCTACAAAAATTTAATTCTCAGGTTGAGTTGTAACAATTATTTCTACAGCCAAGTGTAGTAAGAGAAACTTATTAACCCCTGTGCCTTAAATAGAATCATATCTGTAGTTATTAACATACTGTTTTCTTATTGTGTTTTCTGCTTCTATAAAAAAGTCTCTTTTTTTTTTCCCAGAACACTAATTGTTGTTTTCAAATTTGATGCTCAGTTTTCAACTCATTCATCAATAAATCAATGCCGAAATATTTTCATTGAGTTCATATTTGAAGTTCTAAATCTGAGGCAATTTTTCTGTCACACCCATGGATTTTAGGTGACACTCTGTGCTGATTTCAGTAATGAGTTCTAAGTATATGCAAATAAGCAGCACGCTAGTTAAAACCTGAGTTACATCTTTTGCTAGCTGGGAGATCGCAGTGATCCTATCCTGCCTCCAGTATATGAATTATTGCTGGTCTAGTACTTTTCTTCCATTATAGATTGCCTGTAGCACTGACAGTTTTAGTATAAGGACGTACCCTGGTCTCCTATGAATAGGCTCATCCCACTCTCTAACGTCTTCTGAAAAAGATACATTATTTTCTTCAAATTTTGCAGCAATGACCATAAAGAATAAAGCTGTAGAAAAGAATCTGTGGCACTTAAAATAAATTTCTAAGTTTTATACTATATTAGATAGAAAACAACAAATTAGGCAGAAAATACTTTTCAGAACTACAGGATCAATTAAACTGACATAGAAAATATCAAGTATTTGGTTTGACCCCATCTTTGCATAGCTTGGACTTCTGCACAATTCACTACTTACTCTTGCTTTTCTTCTGAAAATGTGTATTTCTTGTAAACCGCTTCTTATAGCTAAATCCAATTTCATTTTGATTATTGGAAAGAATATTTCTAAGGTGCAGTTATTCCATGGAGATTGTCACGAGACACCACTGTAATCCAGAAACTGATTGGACATTGCTTCAACTGTAGTTTAATTCCAAATCAGATTCAAATAGTGTAAGATTTCTGTGGCAAAGATGGCAATGTTTGTATTTTCTTTGGCAATTTTTAGAATAATCCTTATGTCTCTTGGTTAATCTAATCGTGAATGAGGTTTCAGCAGAATTCTTTTCTGGGTGAAGGCTGATCTGTGTTGCAAAGACATTCGTAAATGTAAGATTACTCCTTGACTTTTCTGCTAGAATATAAAAGGCTGCAGATGATACCTATCCTAATGGGAGCTCTCGTTTCTGTGTTTCAGGCTGACCAGATTTCTGGCTTTCATATACGGTCTGTTCTGTGTGTTCCTATATGGAACAGCAGCCACCAAATAATTGGTAAGACATTCCTCATGGCACATCATTTTTTGTTCAGATGTAAATTTAATTCTGTCCTTTTACTTCTATGTTCCTTTTTTTTTCTTCTTCTTTCTACCACCACCAACCCTCCACCACCACACCCTCCCCCCAAATATTGTTAAGAAGTTACAGTACCTGGGATGCATGCTAAGTATCCAGGAAGCAATGTTTCGATTTGGATACCCTATGGACTTACTAAGCTTTCTCCCTGTGTCATTGCTCAGTTATATATAGTATTGAAACTTGAAGACTAATAAGATGAAACCAGAAATTCTAATATTAGTGAAAAACTTCTTTATATGCTTTGGTATTTCTCTGGGGTCTCTTTTATTTGTACACAACTCAGACAACTGTTTCTACAGTCAGGCAAAGTGGACATTTTCCTCTTTAAAGATAAATGGCAGTCAGGGAAGTCCTACCAGAGAATGTGGCAGCTCAGAGCTGCCTGTGGCAGTGGTGTGTGCTGGATCAGGACATGACAGAGTTTTATTGCTTGTTTGGTATGATGCTTCCCAGCTGTGATACACCTGCAATTTTCCCTGCATTATTACCTGCTTTTGGCACAAGAAGGATCACCATTTGTAAACAACAGTGCCAGATTCTTCAGTTAACTTTCCACAGTGGAATTCAAGTCAGAGCAATAGCAATTCAAACTGGCAGGGCAAGACTTAAATCCCTGTGTATTGTGGTTGTCAGCGAGAGCTGATATCAGTAGTGCATTGCTGAAGGCACTCAGTGCCATGCAGGATCACGATATTTGAGCTTATTCAGCAAATACAATGTAGGAATTGAGTCTTTTGAGAGTATGACTCGTTTGCTGTGAAGTGTGCATTACCTTAAAAAAGTAGGAAAAAACTGATCCCTTGACTGCTGATAGATCTTACAGTATTTTTCTAAGGGCATAGTATAACTAAATGAAATAGAAATGCGGAACTTAATTTTAGTTCAGCTAGAGACAAGAGCTTTGAACGTTAAGTTTTAAGGAATTTTTTTTTCATTGGTTCAGTAAATGTATGGACCAGGTATGAGTTAAAAAAGGTCTTCAATACACAGGTGATGCTAAATCAACTAAGATTTTAGGAATGAAAGTATTGATTTGGCAAATTATATTAGAAATTCGAAATTGCTAGGACATCTTACATAATTGCTGTTAGCAACATGCTCAGGTTCTTTCCCGAGGAGATCTTCAACATTTTGTGAAAAGTGTTGTGAGTAACTTCTGGATTTGAAATATTATACTTGGACAGTAAAGAATAACAGTTTAATAAACTGAGTCCTGGTATCAAAACAATCAGACTTTGACATATTTATGTCTGATTATTGATTTTGAGTATAAATATTTGCAGTATTGCTTTTCAGTTTGAAAGTTATATTTTAAATGTTACCAATGAATAAAATATCCTGCATTGTGAATTAATGATTGAAGATTATAATTCATATGCATTCTTTCTAAAGGGGTAGCTCAAGTGTTGAACAGGCTTGATGGGAAACCCTTTGACGACGCTGACCAGCGCCTGTTTGAAGTAAGAAGCATTCAATTTTGTAGCAATAACCTACTACTTTTCAGCAGAATTTGGTATTTCTAGGTAGTGCTAATTCCGACTACTCTAGGGAGACGGGGAAGAATACGTTGTCTGTATTTGTGGTTTGACATGAATTCTTAGAACTCCACACTTAATAAGGTTACATCCTAATTAAAACAATTTTCTTGCATCTGTTCTTTCTCACCTTGTTGAAGCCAGTGACTTACATGCATTTTCAAGATAACCCAACCATGATTATTCCTAGTATTTCCACATGATTCCCTTTCATGATTAAGCCAACATTCATTTTTGTGTCTATATTATAATTGAACTATAATTGACTTTCTTTTATTTTTCTCTTTCTAATTTTAGGCTTTTGTTATTTTTTGTGGCCTGGGCATCAACAACACAATTATGTATGACCAAGTGAAGAAATCCTGGGCAAAACAGTCTGTGGCTCTTGACGTATGTACACATCTTATTGAAACCTTTTCTTGCTCATGAGCATCACATGGAAAGGAACCTACTGCTTCTGAATTTATTGTAGTTAGCATCATTTTATATATACACCTCTCTGAATCTGAGTGTTATCTTATTAAGGTAATACTGAAGGGAAACGTTCTCAGAGTATGCTTAGCTGTGGACCTCATGCACAGCTTGAGTAATTTTGAACATGGATATTTCATTTGATTTTTACATTAGAAGGGTGGGACACTGATGATAGAAAAGATAGTTTCTTATAAGTGTGTGGGAATGAATCCAGGCATTACATGTATTTTTTTGTCCACCTCTATCTGAAAATTGCTTTGAATTTGATATTTTAGATAGCTTAGTGTTGTTTTTCTAATGCTGTAAAGTAAAATACTCTGTGAAAGGACAAATTTGAAAATAGTGATTATTGTCAGAAGTTTTCTTAGTATCAAAAGCAACATCTACTGAATCCTTATATGGATATATGTCTGACCAGAATAAGTCCAAACAGGATGGCTGGAAGCTCAGCAAGAGCTCTGCTGTGGGCCAGGGCTAATACATAATGCAAAGTCCTGGCATTTTCCAACACATCACGTCTTTCCAGAAAATACTTCTAGAATAGCTAAATGGATGAGAAGCTTTCTCTTTTTTTTTTTTTTTTACCTGTTGCCTTTGGTATGAATTTCTTTTCCTGTTTATGCTGCCTGCTGCCATTCATGAAGAATGCAAATCTGCCGGCTCCTATAGAACAAACTAAAATACAGAATGTTTTTAAAGAAATATTATGATTTGATCTTCTATAAGCTGATTCAACAATAAAACACTATTCTTATCTACTATATTCTGTAGGCTTTAAGCATAATCATATTAAAAATAATCTTGGTGAGAAGAAAGCTTGGAGTTTTGAGGATAGCTTTACAAATCTACATTAGTCCTGCTTAAAAAGTAATTAAGAATGGTTTGAATGAAATTTAAGATCTTTTAAAAAGCATTATGCAAAACTGATTAATCTTAAAAGACTCCTCTGATGAAAGGGTAATGTTGCTAAGATTTCAGTATTGTTTTATATTTTATATGTGATAAGAGAAGAAAATGATCTAGCTGTCCCTCACATGCACCCTTTGACTGTAACTCCTTTGAATTTATACAGTACCCACCATTACAATGAGAACCACAAAGTCAGCATTGGCCTGATTAAGATATGAATTTCTCGCTATTAAAACAGAAAGCAAACCAAACTGGATTGCTATGAAGATGCCATAATTGTACAGTTTTATTCTGCTTTAGGGTTGGAGATATTTATCTACGTGTTGGAGATCTACTCTGTAAAGCATACAGGCATGTTAAGGCTTTTTAAAGTCAATACGACTGTTTATATTAGAAAACATCCTTGGTTTTTTTTTATTACCCACATATACGTATTCACTTAGGAAGAAATGTTAAGAACTTTCCTTTTTAGGACTTCTGCAAGATTCCTTATTCTTTACACACCATAGTAATGAAATACTAGAAGCCCTCATACGCACCAGATACTTGAGCAGTATGACACCTTAGAATGAATATTCCTTCTGGCAAAAAAACAGGCAATGCCAGATATCGCACTCAGATACATGGTGATCAAAGTTAACATAGAAGTTTGTTACTTACTACTGAAATCAATGAAATATGATTTTTTTGTTTTCAAATACAGCTTGTTTCTTTAGTCAAGAAAAGATTCGTATAGCTTGAATGTAGATTACAGGTTTGATAAATGGTCACTGTGCTTCAGTGAAGAGTAATTCTATAAATGAGAAACAACTTGTGATAATATTTGTGAAAAGTGATTGAAGACAGAGCAAAGTACTGAACAAAATAATGGTATATGCTGAAGTACTGCGAAACCATTTTTCAGCAATAGAATAATAGTAGTTGTGTATTTAGGTAGGATGGCAATGAGTGGCATTTGAAATGACATTCATATTGGATATAAAATAAATCAATTTGATATACACTGTAATAAGATTCTTATCCAGATATACAGGTACTCTTTTTCATAGAGAATTCTCAGAAGGTTGACTAATAAATAGAAGACCAAAATGGAAATAAATGATCAGGAAAGCTTGAAAGTAAGATGCCATACAGGCATGAATTACCATAGCTCAAAGCTAGGCTGAATAGTATTTTATATATTAAGGAGACAAAATTAATGAATGCTTAAAAGATTACAATAGTCAATATTAAGGAAGACTAGAGATCTAGAGGGATATAATGAATGCAGGTAAAGGAGAATCTTCACAAGAATTTTAGTAGAAAGTGTTATCTGTCATAGTAGAAAACATAATTTAACTAATCTGATAGATTTCTGAGAGAAGCTGCAATACGGTTGGACAGAAAAATAGATACTATTAGAAGAAGGACATGATGTATAGTTACAGAAAGTAAAACTTGGGACAAAACATGAATTGGTGTTTGTTATTGTTATTTGTTCTTTCATAGTGCAGGAATGATTTCCTGTTACTGTAAAAGGTGACACCTCTAACACTGATATGAGTAAATATATCTTGGGACTTATTGCCATAAGGTATTGCAAGCCAAGGGCATTTGAAATAGGTTTAGGTATTTATACAAGTAACAGAGACATTCACAGATGAAAACAATTTCAAAATGAGAAATATATATCAAAACTTTAGCACGTAAGTAGATAGTATGTTTGTGTGGTGAGGAGGACCTGTCCTTGCTAGGAGTGCTCTGGCTCTGTGAGCTCCCTCAAGGACAAGAGCCTCATCCCCCACACACAGTCAGACCTTGGTGGTTCACAGGATGGCTCTTGCACCTTTTGGGATGTTGTTCAATGTTATTATTGCCACATAAGGATATTATGTATTCCATGTAAATGTATGCATACTTGCAGGTAATAAGAGGAGGTGTGCAGTACTTTGTGAATTTAATTTGTTGCTTTCATCTCCAGACTAGTACTGAAGAGCATGTTGGGCATAACAGAGGTGCTAATTTCCATGCAGTGATGCGTCACTAGCAAAGGCATAAGGCTTTACAGTATAGAAAAAGGCATTATTTAAAGTCTGTAAACCTACTATTATTTTTACATTAAATTCTTTATATTGTGGAACAGGAGAACAATGTAGGAATGCTTATATTATTAAATTGTTTACTGTCCATGATTTCCTATGAAATTCCCTGCAACATAAATGCCAAATGTATACCTGATAACCTGCAATTAATTATTATATGCTGACATTCAGAACTGAATTACCATGCACAAATATTAATTAAATCTGTTTTAAATATAATTGATTAGACTGCAGTATGGAGTACTATTATTTCTACTTAATCAAGCTTACAAAAATTTGTTTTTATCTTTTGCTCTGGAGCAGGTGTTATCTTATCATGCAACATGTTCGAAGGCAGAAGTTGACAAATTTAAGGTAAGGATTTAAGTTTTTAGTTACTTCTGAAAATATAACAGTAAAGTAAAATGGATGTAGATTATCTGAGAGAAAAGCTTTTGTCAAAAGCGGAAAATCATAACTAACTTTAATTTATAAAGGATGTATTATACATTATGCTGTTAGGCAGGGAAGGTGGAAAAAGTCTCTCAAGTGATGAACAGCTGCAGTAATAGGTGCACAGCAGCAAAATACCATTGTTCCAGCACCAGCTGCTGGAACTGCACATCAGTGGGGGTTTGGTGGCCTCCTCAGCAGGACCCACTACAGCGAAGTCACGGTGGGTGGTGAGGAGGAGGCTAGAGAAAATGAGAGGAACATGCTTATAGTGTGGAAGCTGTCCTGTGTTTACATAAAAAGCAGAAAATCCACTCTTAAGATTGTGCATATGCTTAGAAGGCTGAATGTGATGGTGAGAGATCCTCTTCTGACTTCTGTAAGCACGGGCAGAACTGTAAAGTGATGTGTGCATCATATAGCATTGCTGGGGACCGGTAATGATGTGTTCATACTGAATCCTGCCTTCCTAAGAGGCAGAGAGTAGGAGGAGCGGTGACCTTGCCCTTTCACCTCTGCCAGCACTCCAGCACAGCCTTTGTTTGTCCTTTTCTGCTTGAGGAAAACTTGGTGTCGCTTTACTTGGCTATGAGGAGTAAGCGTTGAGAGCTCCTCATAACTGTTTTAGAAGCTTTTATAGTGGGCATCAGGGTTGGTTTCTTTTATGCAAAGTACCTCGGAAACAGGGAAGGAGATCAGGGCTGTTGTGACCCCACGCTGCTGGCATTCCCTGCTGTGGCTCCTTGTGACCTATCTGGCTGAAAAATAGCTGTTTATTTTGACACTTGGCAGGCGGGCTGCAACCTGATCTCCACACCATGCAGATGGTTGTGGTCCAATGGGAAAGCCTTGGGTGACTTAGCAGAGCTGATACTGATGAGTTATGTGAGCTGAGGAAGGGCAGCTATTACTAATTAGTTATTAGTTGGTAGATTATTGCCCAAACACTGGCTGTGCCTATCACCAGGTAGTGATGCAGAGTTCTAAGGGTGTAATATATTGTCTCTCTCCATTGTACTCATTGGTGCAGTTACCCACCCTTTTGTGAGATGAAGAGTAGGTAACTGAATTACTGCTGCAATCATATATCTGTGAAGATTATTCCCACACTGGAGCCAGCAGAAAACACTTTTGTGTGCTTAATAAGTTATATGTTGCGCAAAGACCACTGAACACTGTGTGAGAGAGGGGGGAAAGAAAAGAATAAAGGGCCATATATATATATTTTTTTTTTTTTAAGGTTGAGGTTTTGTTTGGTTTGGGTTTGTTATTTTCTGGGTGGTTTGGTGGTGTGTTATTGTTGCTTGGTTTGGTTTGCTGGTTTGATTGTTTGGTTGTTTTTTTTTTTAGTTTACCTTAGAATAAGCACCTGTAATACAGCTTCTACGATTGTTAGGATTCATCCAATATTTTCTACATACCAGAGGGCCATACTTCTTGGTTGCTTTCAAACATTGAAAGATAATTCTCCGTCATGGACTGTGGAGTTGAAATAAGAGCCTGCTATGTTACCCTTTGGACCTAGATACTAGATGAGGAGCTGTTCTACTTGTTTTTGCAGGTGTTTCCATTAATAGATTTGTTGGTCTCCAAGTAGGGAATGTCGTCTTGTTATTCTGAAGGCCTGTAACTATCCCTTTAATGGCTAACGACAAGGTAAAGGGAACTGAAAAGCATTTATTCATTAGTAACCCTGATAGATACAATTTTATACAGAAGATAAATGAGAAAATGAGAAATAAAATCAATCTGTGCTTAAACTAAGCTGAGAGACTTTTCTAAGAAAAAATTTCCCTTATTATCCAGTTGACTCTCTTTCAGTTCCTGACAAAATGAGTGCCAGGTAGTCTGTGTTAGTGCTTTATGCCACCAGTTGTAAACAAAATAAACCCCAACAAAACCAGAGGGAGGACCAGTGTGTCTTGTGGGCCTTAGACAGAGAGCTCATCCCCAGAGAGGGCCATCCATCTGTGTGATAAAATTGCTTCTGTCTCACCCCTCTGGCAGCCAGTCTCCCTGCTGAGGTCTCCTGGGGCATCCTACCCTGAAATCACTGCTCTTTTCTGTGTTTGTTATATTGTTATATTTTGTATAACTCCTTTGTTATATTAGGGTCATCTTCTAGACTTGACTGGCTAATAAACAATTCCTCCCTCTGGGGGTCTTTGGGGCTAAACCTGTCCCCTCTCCTTTTGGTGATTTATTGGCAGATGTCAGAGGAAATGTCTGTTACAATTTACCTGTTGTTCTGGTTCAGTCAGAATAGTAACAGACTCACATGACAGAAACATCTAAATGAAAGTAATGCCAGCAGCTCACTACTGTCTCTTGAATGACACAGGACCTAATGGTAGTTAATGACTTTGGAGTGACAATATATTTGAGTTGATAACTTTTCAACATACTATCCTAAACATACCACTACTGGACCCCAGAAGCATGGGAATAATCACGTATTCTTCCCTTTTTTTTTTTCTAAGTTGTTTATTTCCTTCTTTGTCATATTATGTCTTTAGAATATTAATATATTTCTTATCCATTCATTTTTATTTGCCTAAGATATAAAGAGTATTCTGATGCAAAGTAAAAAATCGCAGGTGTACTTGAAGTTTACTTTTCCTCTGGCTTTTACCAGCAAATTGTTTTACTGCATTGTAGAAAGCATGGCATGACTAGTTAAAGTTGATTTTTTGCTAGAAATTTTGTCAGTAATTTCCTACTGTTATTGAGTGAGTTCACAAATACACAAACTCACAAGTATACCTGGTATCTTTTTAAGAATTAAACATAATCACTGTGAGGAAAGTTCTGAAAATCAATAATATTTATGTTCCTATTAATTCTGCTTAAGAATGTCTGAAATAAAAACCCTCACCTTAACAAGAAACCCTTAAAAAATTAATACCTTTCTCCAGATGCTGGGATGGGAGAAAGTGCAGAGCACCAGTGGTTCTGGAGCTCAAAAAAAGGGAAGCTCACAGTATGGAGCACTGAAACATAAGTGTATGATGATGAGCCATGTCATGCAATTGGCTTACTCCCTCTCTGATTTTTACAACTGTCTAAAACCAAAGCAGCAACATAAATTCAAGTTGAACAGTGGTTTTGCACATTTTTGTAAGGGATCCCACTTCTGGTGGTACTAGGGTAGAGCTTTCACTAATAATCTGAAAGCCAAATTTAAAACTACCTGTATGACTAGAAATTGTTCTATTAGTGAATTAATGGAGTTTTTTCACAGAAGAGAATCCAATTATGTGAATTACTGTAAAAGTTCATGTCACCAGTCCTTTTCGTTATTTGCATTAAAGCTTTTGGGATTCATTAACATTTAGGGTAGCAGGCACACATTTATCTGGAAGCCAGTGCCAGCGGAAACAACATGAGACTCTGACACAGGTGCTGTGGCAGGTGCTGGTCTGCTGACCTGGCTGGAGACACCCATTTGGTTCACTGCCTGTGCTCAGGGGAAGTGGGAATGGAAAATTCATGCCCCTAACCCAGTAAGTTTGTTTTAGTGGTCAGAGAGGGGGCTTAGCCCTTGGGTTAGACACAAGTGGATCTGCAGAGATCTGGATTCAGAGCCTGAACAAATTGCTTTGTCTCTGTAGCTGATGATCTGGCCCTGGGAGGGTAATATGAAGTTTTTCATCAATTTCATCAGGATGGTGCTCTCTTCAGCTTTGGCATTTTGCAAAATTGCATAGTAATGATCCCTCTGCCACCTTCCATCTATTTAGTCATGGCAGTCAGTCTTTAGTATTGTGTTTTCTGATAGAGCAATATCTCTGGAAAAGTATAAATTTAAGATCCAGTCCTCTCTTCATGCCAGCTTAAAATATAGGTTAAATGAAAGCTTGAGTTGTCACACAGTGTAAAATGAGTCCTTCTTCCTGAGAATGGGTAGGTTTTAAAATGTGGAAAAACATAGAATCTTAATTGGTAGAGTTTTAATAACAGGTAATTGAATTGGAGTTAATTATTAATCAGAATTAGTTGTGGGGTGGCTACCATTATTTCTGCATTTGGGATATGAACTGTACTTCCAGTTTCTAGGAAAGATGTGGATTTTGTGAATGATTTATAGGATTAAACCAACAGAAACAAAACCATACGATCTCTAGTAAATATTGTACTTAAGACTCTGTTGCTGGATGATCTTACATTTATTTGCTGCTAAATATTTTTCAACTTTTATTTTTTAAAATCTAGATTGTGATGGCTTAAAAAAAATTATATCTGGTATACTGCTAAGTTCATATAAGCTGCATTATATTTTTTAGGTTTTCTGATATGTGCTGCATTACTGTGATAGATGAATTTCTGATACTGTTGCTCTAGACATAGGGAGAAAAACTAAACTTTACTTTCCATGTGCATTTGCAAGTAAAACAAGAAAAAATCCATCTTGAGTGCAAACGTTTCTTTCTTACCTGAGAATGTCTCCCTGAAGCCTTGAGCCTGATTTATCGCAATGCTTCCCACTTTCATCTATGTAACTACATTAAATTCAAACTCAGTTTTGGCAAGATAAGCAGAAGTAATGCAACAATGAACCATACATATATCAATATTCAGTTGTGAGGATTTTTTAAATTAGAAATAAGTATGATTTTAAAAAATGTGGCAATGCAGTTTTCTCTTGTATTTTAGACTTAAAAGACAACTTCATTATCTCCATTGTGTACTAGCACTAGTGTTTAGCTATAAACATTTGATTACTGAAATAGAAAAATGTAAAGCTAGTGGAGCCTGATTAATCCAAGATTGATACTGTCCTATGGCATTGTCCTGTGCCGTGTTTCTTCTCATAGAGATGCAAGCTCTGTAAGCCTAAAAATAGTCGTCTTTTAGACAAGTATAGAAAGCCAAGATACATGAGTAAAGAACGCAGAATTGTGTCCAGGACAGGATATTTATAG